AACCTAGAAGAGCAGATTAGTTATGGGGTGTCAAAATAAATAGTCGTATTCATGCTAAGCTGAAACTGATTACAAAATATTGTAAAATGGGAGAGAGTGGTAGTGATTAGTCGTCATAATAGATTTGTAGAGTGTGGGGTAGGAAAATTGACGAGTCAATTCAGGGTTATAAAAGGTGTCAGGTGAGGAAGTGGCTAGTACAAAGTGGTATGTATTAAAGAGGAGGAGATAGTAAGACTCGAATGAGAGGTTAATAATGAAATAACGAATGTGTAAAATAAAACAGGCCGAGGCATGTATTGAGAAAAGAGATAATATCACTAATAATAATAAGTCCGGATAGTACTGAGAGAATGTTTGTGTGAAAGGTGTAAATTATGACGAATAATAATAATAATTGTAGTAATAAGCAAAGAAAGAAAAAAACCAAGAATGTTAAGGGGAAGAAGCACTCTAGGTTAGAAGAAGAATCATCAATCCAAGTTTGACCACAGTAGAAACTGCGTCTGGACGTGTTCTTCTTAGATACTAAGTTTCGGTTTAGTCGATCTTATTGAAACAGCTTCATGTATATGCAGGCGATATAAGCGAACTGTACGTGATAACGACTTCGGAATTCAGTATATAACCTTGAAAGCTGTGTTGACTTCAATTCTTTGTCCAGTATTATGTCTCATCACCATCATTATCTCCTATTTCACAATATTTTGTAATCGATTTCAGCCTAGCACGACGTTTGTCACACAAATACGACTATTTATTTTGACACCCCATAACTACTAATCTGTTATTCTATATATGTCCAAACCAAGTTTACTTTTAACAGTTTGAAAAAATTTGGGCATTGGGTGGTATATGATATTCATTATAATAAAGGTCTTTTTTGTATTTTCCAATGAATGAAAAAGAAATCGGTATTGTTTCTACAGATGTTTCGCTATTTAGTGCTGTTGCCAATAGCCAGCTTTATCAAAGTAATATCACCAAACCAGAATTTACAGAATCTACTCAGCCTGTATATAACAACTTAATCATCGTCCCTCACTATGGGTCATTTTTGTGTTGTCAATTTGGCCAATCGGTAAAGATAATAAAACCAGCTGTAGGTTGTTGAATTTGATGAGTGTGTAAAAATTATGAAAGCAGCGTTTGTGTTTACATAATGAAATTGCTTATCACACTCGTGTTGATTTTATCATTTCATGGGGAGGGGTGTGTGTGTGCTGTAACGAGGTCAAATTCTGTTTAAGTCCATCATTCCTATACATTTCAGACAATTTGGATTCCATTTGATGATATGAAGTGCTTCTGATGATATTAGACGTTCTTTGTGATTTCTTAAATGCTTTTCCTGGACGATGATTTCAATATTGTCAAAATCAATTTTGTAGCCTGATTCTGTTATTCTGCGTTAAAAAAATGCATCCCCCGCACAACTGGCTCGCATTATTGTAACGACAACAAATGTATTAGATTTTCTAATTGTAAGAACCTGAAGAGGAGAAATTATTGAAAAGAATATTCTTCCTCGTTCAGATTGACTTTAGTACTAATTTAGGATAGAGTTTAAAAATTATTGGGATGAGACAGTACTGAATGGATATTTCATCTGACTTCGTGGCTTTTCAACAGCATACACTTATTACCCCCCAACCAATCTGAGAATATTATGTTATGGAGAGAAGACGCTATAATCCAGTCACTATCCATTAGATTTTAACTTCTAATAATTTCATGATATAGAGCTAAGTTTATTTTATGTGTAACGACAGAAGACAAGGAGATAGTAGGCAGCTAGCTTGTCTTACTTCCTTCTTCATTTCAATGGATTCCGTGAGTTTCCTGTTTTGGATTACTTGGCATGCAGCATTGTCGTACAAATGTGGGTCGGTGACAGAGCGGTAGAATGCCTGCTAACCACGCACGTGTCCTGGGTTCGAATCCCCGCCGACCCACCCGTTTATCTCGCTAAGACCGGTAAAGAGAGAAATTTTGGGCATGAAGCTAGCAAACCCATCCTTTAAGAATAAACACCACTGCTACCGAAACTTCCAGCTGAAGGCCTGTAGCCCTATGCTCCACTGGCAACGTAAGAGGACTCAGTGCGTGTATTAACTACGATATGTTGATATAAGAAAGAATGAAAAGGGCCATTTACTTAGTGTTTCTCCGTAAGTTAGTAATGTCCTACTCAATACACTTTTCTCATTACATAAAATGTGTGCCGAATAAGGGATTGTAACGGGACGCATCATTCGCATTGTTCGAGCATAAAGTTGCTTCTAGTCTTACCTGATGAGGTGCAAGGAGAGAGTGAGTTGTGTATAAAAAGGATGCATTAGTTCAAGAGTACTTCCACAACTATATTTAACGATTCAGTTGACAGCAATTAATGCCCTTAGCAATGTAACGAAGTCTTCCTTAAGTAGACAAGGAAAAATTAAAGGGGAGGAATAAGCGAAAATAGACACAACACAAGAATTAACAAACTATGAATGTACAAACTGAGTAGTATCAAACTGTCTTAACTTCCTTCCGTAGAAAGTCAGATGAAACTGTGATGGCAGAAGACAAGGACCAGGCAACAGATCGTTTATTGAGAAAATCAAGAGATACTTATAGATTTTTATGTACATTATTATTAGCGTTATTGTTAGCAGATTGGTTATTTTCCTGCTGAAGGTTATTCTGTCATCTCTTTGTGACCATTTCTTAGAAAGTCAGGCCATATATCTGCAAATCTTATTTGTACACGTTAAATGTGCTGTGATTGGTTGGTGAGTTCTCATGACCCCGAGTCGGGAAGTAAACATTGACGTCAGTATTTGTCTACAATTTTGGCTTGCAGACAGCTCTCACCAGAAAGCATGTTTCTAGAATTTAATATGATGCAGGACGACTGGGAAAGGTATAATCCAAAGTATTTAACATTCAACTTACTTTGAAATTCACTGTCATATATGTTACATGAATCATGGGAACAAACTTAGTCATGTAAATCGTGCTTGCGTCTGAAAACGAAATTAACAAGCTTGCTTTTGGAAGGATTTAGCCAAAGTCAGTTGGATAATTTTATCAACCCGAAACCACTTTGAAAATCTTGTACACTCAGACAGCGTAAGGAGCATGATTTGCACTTTCAACACCAACGTGAAGTCGGTTAGTTAGTCTATACGGGTCAGAAACTTGCACTGCGTGTCAAGAAAAGGATTTCCAACAGCCTGTTGCAGACTTTCGTCAGCAGCTGCCCACTTCACTGGCTGGCTCCATACTAAAGATCAAATGCCTGGCCAGAAAGAATACACGACAAGAAACTCTGCAGGGGAACAAACCAACCAAGAGCCGATCGCTTAACAAATATGTAGGAGAATGTATAGATGGATCTGGCATACACTGAGGAGGTTGCCAAATGACATCGCACTCCAGGCCATCGCTCTAATGGAATCCAAATGAGAAGCGACGAGTGGGTCGCCTATGTGAGAGTGACGTGGAGGAGATGGTGTGAGGAAGAGATGAAAGAGTCTGGTCAGTTGTGGACCCAGCTGAAGAGGGCGGCAGAAAATAGCACAAAGTGAAGATGTGTTGTTGAAGCCGTATGTTCCACTCATAGCGCTAGGGAATAATAATAATACTGACTAATTTGCAATAGAAAAGCTATTTATCGGTATTATATGGTTGGAGGCAATCGTCAGGAAGCCCAGCCTGACCTAGATTTCGTGCTAGTTGTCACTCATCAGCAAGGCGTATCTGTAACCCATAAGGTCAATCGCGAGCCTGAATTGCTCAGTGGTAACGTCTCTGACTGCAGCCCTGGGTGACATACCTTCGAATTTCAGAAGGGACATAAGTTCCTTCGAGGTTGCAGATACGCCTTGCTGACTGGCTGGTAAGTGCCAACTAGCACAAAACCTAAGTCAAGCAAGGCTTCCTGCAGATTGCCTCCAACCATATAATACCAACAGTTCACAGTGCACCATGATGGCGAGCCACGTAGTGGCATTGTGGTCACATTGCAAACCTGACTGATAGAATTCAGTCTCCACCGAAGATAGGACCAGACACACACATTACACTAGTTACTGACTAGTGTCCAATCAAAAAAGCTACTTATTCTGGGGGCAGTCTGATTCAGATGAGAATTAGGAAGTCATGTTAAGCGGAAAGAAAAAACAAAAGGCGAAAGAACAACACCTTGAAGAACACCAGCTAGACTAAGTAAAACCTTGGAGGACTAAGCATCATCTACAGTGTACTGCTTCCCATCATTTTTAAATCCAGCACCCAGCTCGTATCACAGCAACCCCTGTTTAATAGAAGAGGCCTAAGTGCACAGCAGAAACCAGATATATAATCAAGCATGGCACACCGAACATATTTGACACCTCTGTCTAAATTAGAGACAATATTATGATGTATGGCAACGGACATGTTTAAAAATTTTAAAATCAATAAATAGTTTATACGATTTAACCTAAGTTTAAATATTCAACTGAATTCAATCTATTTGACCTAAACAAATGTAGAATACGAGTAAAATTCTATAAATATTTTACAATATAAATAGAAAGTTATATTCGCTAGTACACTGCAAACGAATTACCTAACATCATCTCTGAGTTTCGCGTTTATTGGTGAAAATGAGGTGTCTATTAGTCTAACTTTAATTGGCAACCAATACGAATTTATATGTGTACCGTTATCAGCACGACTGGAGTGGTTGATTAGGTATACTGTCTCAGCAAACAGGCAGAATTTAAGGCTAGATAGACACTTTTCAGGCTGTACGCCTGTGCATGCATTCATGCGATTACACATATACGTATATATGACACACGTAGGCAAAGTATTCCAAACTTCATTCATACTTGCATGCACCAAGCATCATAATTGTTTATGACTCATAAAGGATACTGCAATCTGCTTTCATGATGTTATCAAAATATGGAATTTATTCAGCCTACTCAAAGTAAAACAGTTTTAAAATTTTTATTATTTCGACCATGTATCAAATATTTGTGGAGAATGTACAATTTAAGCTACTCATAATTTTATCAGTAGTATTATATATCAGAGAATTGCATGGATCACATATATCAACTGAAAATGATGAGCTGATCTTCTATGGAAATGAAACACTCCCTTCATGGTTATCTTATTATAAGAAAACGAATGGAGAGCCGTTTAATCCTCAAATTGATAATCATGGTAAGAAAATGAATTCAGCTCATTTAATTGCGTTGGTTTATATCAAATTTTCAAGATCTAGTTTGGAAGGATTAGATTTGTTATAATGAGCTGATTACGGATTGATATCAGTTAGAGAACCATTGAAAAACAGCACCGGGTTACTGGACAGATGTTTCATCCTAGTTTTTTGAGAGTCATCGGCAGTACGCACCCACTACCATAGTTCGAACCCACGACCTTCAGGTTACAAGGCAAGCTGACTTGTATACCATTCAGCCACTGGGATCCGATTCAGTGGCCAACCCATGATTTCTAACTCCTACCAATTCGTGAGGCATTTAGCGCGACCACCAACAAATGTCATCGGCGGGAAATCTCTCCTCACACTTGACTGGGTGGACCTCACTGGTCACAACTTCTCACACGAACTCCAGGAAACTCCGTCCTGTAGGAAGCCACTAGCGAGCATTAGATTAATTTTCTATAGTTGGTTTGCAAGGATTAGATTTGTTTGGTGGTCGCATTAACTCACGAATTGGTGGAAGTTAGAATTCATGGGCTGGCCACTGAATCGGGTCCCAGTGGTGGCTGAATGGTATACGAGCTTGCCTTGTAACCAGAGGGTACTGGGTGCACACTGCCCATGATTCGCAAACTAGGATGCAACAGCTGTCCAGTACTCCAGCGATTGGTTTCAATGGTTCTCTAACTGACTGAGAGCTGACTAAGAAAGACAGCAGAGGACAGACTGAAATGGAGAGATACCGGTGAGGCCTTATGTTCTAACCAACTATAGAAAATTAATTTGATGCTCACTAGTAATTTGCTACAGGACGGAGTTTCCTGGAGCAGTTCTAGTGAGAAGTCGTGAACAGTGAGGTCCAACCAGTCAAGTGTGAGGATGGATCTCCCACCGATGACATTGGTTGGTGGTCGCCCTAAATGCATCACGGGTTGGTAGAAGTTAGAATTCGTGGGCTGGCCATTCAATCGATCAGGTTTCAGTGACTGAATGGTTTACGAGCCGGCCTTGTTGCAGATATATTTTTCGCATGGAGTTCCAAAAGATACCAAACTTTTACTACATAGAACCTTCTTCATCACGGACTCATTATTATTGTTCTATTGGGTTGGGTGTGGAAAATAAAGATTCAGCAACACATCCCCATTTCCTCCTATTCTCTGCTGACTTCCTTAGCTGGTCCCAAGATTTCTCATAATCTCTCATCTCCTCCTCGCATGATCTCCTCCATGTTACCCTCGGATCAATGCCCAACTCTTCATTTCCCAATCGGGTCCCAGTCGGGCAATAACCTGGCTATCACACAATATCATTCAATGGTCTCTTTAGTATCTGTCCAATCCATATCTATTTTTCCCGCATATTTGTTGAGTGACCTGTTCTTGTTTGATTCGATCCCATAGTTTCTTGTTGCTTATTCTTTCTGGCCAGCCATTTCATCCTCAATATAAAGCCGGGGAAGGCAACTGTTTATAAAGCCCTGTAACCAGTTCTAAATGCTTTACGTGACGATGGTGCCAAGTTTCTGACCCGTACAGAAGAACTGACTGACTTAATATTGGTGTTGAAAATCCAAATTTTGTTCTTCATGACGTGAAGGGTAGCAGATTTACAAACTGAGTGATGAAAGCGTATCTTACCCTTCTGATTCTGACCAGCTTTGACATTTTCATCTGTTCTACGTGTAGTTGAAACGATGCTTCCTGGTGAGATAATTGAATAAATAAATAAATAAATAAATTTATTCTCATAGTACAGTACATGAGGGACGCCAGTTTACAGGCATCATCAAATTGTTACAGAAATAGAACCATATAATTTAATCACAATTTACAGCCAGTAGCAAGATATGCTTTACATGTTCGATGGAGATTATACATACACTTGATAAATGTTAATTCCAGTAGTATAAAACAGCCTTTTCACTTATATACAATCATTTCTGTGCAAAGTTGGAAAAGTCTGCTAGATTGTCAGTGAGTGCAACACAACAGGAAATACAGGAGTATTGTCTTCGCATTAACAAAAAAACCAGGTCTTTGGTGGATGGATTATAAGTGCCTGGGAAAAAAATAAAGCTTGAAGTAAATATTCATACATAACTTTGTTGTGTGCGGAGTCCTCGAATTATAGTTCATTGATGTGTTATTTTGAAATCAGTGATGTGTTTATCTCATTTGATCTGCAATGTCATTGTTGGGAGTAAGTACATAAGCTTCGGACGCATTAATTAATGGATTTCTACTGCTTGTGGGTATTTTCTTAGCGTTAGGAAGGTTTATGAGTTTCAGCTGTTCCGACAGGAGTTGGGAATATTAACTGCTCAGCAACATTATGGGTATAAGTTCATCACATTATCTAAGGAAAGGTGGGTTGCAGTTGGTGAGGGATATATTGTGCCCAATGAGCGTACATCTGTCCATGTGATGTTGTGGTGAGTTATACCTTTTTCATGTTGTCGGTTTATGTCCATTTTATTCCACTTATTGTGTTGGGTAGTAGTTTTACAAACGAGATTTCTTGTCTGTTTGAGGATACGTATCTTAACCGTTAATGTTTTATCTAGAATTATAAATATAGGCAAAAAACAACAGGTGTAGTATTTAAGCTTATACATTAAATGGACCTATAATTCCGGAGGCTCTCAGATAGGAACTAGAACTAATATCGTTTGCAAACTCTTGTAGTTTGTCATTAAGCACCTTTTTGAAGGAGGCCAATGTACTTGCTTGACGCATTTCCATTGGCAGTTTATTCCATATCTGTGCATACCTAATCAAGTAAAACTTTTGCCTGGTGGCTGTTTTACATTGTTCGATAGCTACTGTACCCTTAGTGTGTCTTAGTTTGTAGCCATTGTCATCTGAAAGTCGAGTGCCATTAGTAGAGGTAAAAACTAAGTGGTTTAGAAGCTTATAGTAAAGTGTCAAGTTTAGTCTCAGGCGTCTTAGCCATAGTGTTTCTAGTCCTAGGGTATCACATCTAGTGGAGTAGTTCGTACCATTTCCGGTTCCGAGTAATTTTAACGTGAAGTACCTCTGCACTCCGAAGGAAGTGATCTCTTTCAAATTCCTCCCGTTGATGGTGGTTGGTACTGTTTCTTTTTGTTGCTGTTGGTTGGACATCCTTCTCATTTCCGTCTTCTCCGTGTTCATTTGGAATCCTGTCTTCGCTGACTGACTTCGTATTGTTGGTTTTGGCCTGAAAGTCGCTATGCATTCCTTGTATCGACTAACTAGTCTCAGAGCCGCAAATGAATGTTTATAATCGATTACGAGAACAAATCCAGTTGACGTTTTAACATTCAGATAAAATGAATCCTCACTCTACTGTTTCATTGACGTTGACTGATGATAAATTTCATCAAATGTTCTGAAAGGACATAGAATCTTCCTGAAGCTCAATGGAATAATCCTTCCGAGCCCCATGGAAGAGCCGGATTTGATTCCGGGCCAACACATGTCTAAATCTAGCCTGGTTTACTGATCGGTTTTAAGCCTAGAAAGGAGGGAAGGTTGGACATAAGGCCAGTAATCTCACCCCTTTAAAAATAACACCATCTCTACTGAAAGATCGATAACTGATGTCTTATGCTTCACTTGGAACACAAGGAATAAGAAAAATTATAGATAGTAACTTGCTTTATCAATTCAACTGTTCACAGAATTTATTTATTTTTTAATTGGTTGGAGGATATCATCATGAGCTGACATCAGTTAGAGAACCACTGAAAAATTGGTTGGGAGTAGTGGACAGCTGTTTCGTCAGCCTAGTTTCGGACTCTGCTTTAGTAGTACACACCCACACTGAGGGGTTCGAGCACAGGACCTTCTGGTTACAAGGCGCACTAGCTTGTAGACCATTAAGCCATTTGTTTCGAGTTCACGGTAGACACATAAACATGAGAAAAGTTCAACTTTGGACATGCAGAAGGCGTGAATGCGCCAGTGACTTCAGAAAGGAAGATTTTAGTAGACAAAAAGCGAATTTGGGCCTCTAATTCAATATCTAACATAACCCTAATCCATTCTTAACCCTAACTAACCATTATATCCCTCTAGTTGGGTTACCCTAACTCTACGTAATCTTTCCATAAGCACACTTTAAACTGATCAGGTATCCTGTTTAATGGCACTACCTGTCATCGACTTTGGAAAGGTGCCTTCGACGGCGCAGTGTTGACTGCAAAGTAATTTGGAGACGAATTCAACACTTTGGTGTGTGGTGCCAAGATCTTTACCAACCTCACTCAACAGGTATATGACAATGGCAAGTGCCAGGTAACCCGCAGTGGAAGTCTCAGAGAAGCCTTCAAAAGGAATACACAAGTAAAACAAAACTGCTTATTATCACCAATGATATTCATAATTGTGGTGAACTGGATTATACGGAAAACTGTGCTTCTGGAGCGATAAGACAGAAATAAAATGAACCGATTCGAAGACTAGAAGACTTAGATTCCGCAGATGATTTATGTATAATGCCACAAAACTCGAAGACTTACAGACAAAAAACCCCACATCTGGCAGAAGAAGCAGTGAAGACGGAGGTGGTGAAGATAACCAGCCAAACAACACTAATCACCATCAACGGGAGAAGCTTGACAGAAGTCACTTCCTTCACTTATCTAGGAAGCATCGTTTCAAATACAGGCAGAACGAATGAATATTTCAAAGCCAGGAAGCCAGAATCGGAAAGGCGAGTTACTCCTTCACCAACCTGAAACTAGTTTGGAAATCTCCTGCACTTAAACGGCATAAAGGACGAGATTAGGATTTTCAACACAAATGTGAGATCGGTCAATTCTTCTGTGTGGGCTGGAAACTTGTACTGAGAGTTACGGAAAGCATTTCCAGCGGGTTGAAGGCCTTAGTCTACAGTTACCTTTGCTGACTGTATATTAAGGATGAAATGGCTGGTCAGAAATAATTAGCAACAAGAAACTATGGAAATGAACCAACCAAGGACCTGTTGCTAAACAAATTTTGGTGGAGAA